TGCTCTGTGTATGAACACAGCATGGGCAGATTTGACAAAAGTTATATTTAGAACAACTGAAGAAGACTATGACTCTTAAATTCAAAGATATATCTAGAGTATCTTAGAATTGAATTAAGAGTCTTTGATGGGAAGAAAATGTTGAACACTGCTCAAAATTGGATTTATTCTATTCACCAAGAAAATGACAGTACTTTAACAACAGTAAATGGTTGTTTTAAAATCAAAGGATATAATAAGTAAATATTGCATTTGCTATTAACTTTCTTTCCTTTTTTCCATTTTCTTCCTCTTAAATTTGAACATCTTTGGAAACATCTATCACTTAGATTTTAAGATTTTTTTTTTAAATCTAATTTATTTATGTGTAGAAGAACTGGGACATAGATTGGGGGGTGGGGTGTGATAGGATTCACCTGAGACATAGTGGGAAGTAGAACAGGCAGATCTACTGAAATACGCTGCTGAGGGGAGCAGCAGGCGACACAGAAGAGGCCTGCTGCACCATGTGGGTCACCTCACTGGCTGGTGATCCAACTCAGGCGGCAGCAGTGATAGGGCAGAGACTAAACACCTAGGCCACCAGGGATACCCTTAAAATATTTTTATTCTATAGAAGACTTCAGAAAAACCTAGTTTACAAAGCTTCTATGCACCATTATTTCTCAAATTTGCATTTCTTGATATTTTTCAACTCTCTCCAAAGCTTTCGTAGATAAAGTATCTCAGCAGCAGACCTAATTGGAAATAAATGAGCTCATAGTTATATCTGTTATTACTTTCATACCTCCTTTAGCTGCCAGAATGTTCTATAAATGGCCACTGATAACTAGTTTAGTGGGCTTGCCTCTCTGCACAGTGCATAAATCACTACTGATTTAACTAAGTAATTTAACCTTTAAATTTTGGACCCAGTAAACACACACACACACACACACACACACAACTTTATGGAATGTAAGAACAAGGCTTAATAAACTTTGATATCATGTGATTAGTTATTAAAATGGGGTTGGGGCTTATCCTTCACCTTGGCATTGGAAACACAATTTGTATTTTTTTTTTTAAACTGAAAAAAAAAATCAGGAGGAAGGAGTGCTTTGGAGGCTGAGTGATTTAACAGATAAGTAGAATATATTTGTTTTAACTGAAGCAATAAGCAGTTTAGCTGAAGGGAGTAAATATCCCCTTGTTTTCTGAAATCAATCTGGAGCATCATGTATAACGTTGACCTTGTAAGGAAATAATCACTCTCTGACACATTACCCCAGCAAAGCTGCACTACCTCCCTTTCAGAGCAGATAACAGCGTTGTCCAAAATAATCAGGCAAGATCTTGAAAAGACAGACGCCAAGGAGAAAAGGAAAATGACAAGAACTGCATGTTTTTCTGTACTGTAACTGCAGCTTGCAAGGTCCTGCAGACACGACAAAGACATGAATAAGAAACAAAATAGTAAAGTATGAAAATTGAAATAAAGCCAAATCACAAAGAGCTTCCTTACTCATGATTTATTTTCAGGAAAGACATAAAAAGCATCACAAAAACTATACAAATTTACTGGTTTTGGGGAAGTGATGCTTAAAAAAAGAGCAACTAGAAATTACTTGGAATACCAAGTGCTTTGTTTCCTGTCAAGACGGTGAACTAGAATGGGTGAAATGAGATTGAAACATGAACTTAACAACAACAAAAGCAAAAACAAATAATAAAACGGAGTCACCCAAGCTCAGAAAGCTGTCTTGAACTCATTTGGCCAGTAGTGGCAATGGTAGGGATGACTGGAGTGTAGAGTGGGAGTGTAGAGTGTAGAGTAGGTCTCTAAAAGGACAAGGTGGAGGAAAGGACTTTTGTGTTCCTTCTGCCTCTCCCTTGAGGTCCCCTAGGAAAATCCCGTGTCCTTCCCTGCAAAGGATGAGAAACGCAGGCCCAGGATTCAGGCTGCTGAATGTCCTCCTCATGTAAACGTATGTGAACTACATCTCATTCGGTATTCCTTCCTCACCCACCCTGTTCTCTCTCAAATCCCACTTTGATGGGTTATAATGGAGGGATGCACCTCCTCCTTGGACTTTTTCCCCTAATAGTATAAGGGAAATGCTCAAAAATAGGTTTTCAGTGCTATTTAGTGCCATATGACATGAGGTGAGGAATATAATTCTTGTATCTCTCTTGTAGTTGACTTTCAAATATTAGGTTGAACATAAGAAATTGCAGGGTTTGGGGCCTCCCTGGTGGTTCAGCAAGTTGAGCGCAGTGCTGTGAAGCTGTCTGCAGGCTCAGCAATGTGGGTTCAATTCCTGGGCCAGCCAGGGAGATTCCCACATGGCGAGGCAGACCCTTCCCGTGGCGCCTGCTGCTCCCCTCAGCAGTGCTTTCGGTCCATCTGCCTGTTCTGCTCCCCTCTCTGTCTCTGCTGAATCCTCTCACCCTCCCATGCCTCTAGCCTGTACCCCAGTTATTGTATAAATAAAAAATAAATCGGGCCTCCCCTGGTGGTGCAGCGGTTGAGCACTGGGCTGCAAAGCTGCCCGCAGCCTCTGCAGCACTGGTTCAATCCCCGGCCGCTGGCGAGGGTCCCACATGGCACGCAGACCTCTCCTGCTGCACCCGCTGCTCCCCTCAGCAGTGTGTTTTGTCAGCCTGCCTGTTCTGTTCCCCACTCTGGCTCTGGTGAATCCTCTCACACTTCCACGCTTCTGACTGTACCCAGTGCTTGTATAAATAAGTAAATAAGTAAATAAGTAAATAAATAAATAAATCTTTAAAAAAATCTTAAAAAAAAAACAAAACTGCAGGGTTTTTTGCAATGACCGAGTATTGGCAATTTCATATAATCCAACATAATAAAAATAGGACAATTGGGAATAATTAAAAATACTTAGGGAAATATAAATAATTACTGTAACTTGCAGGAACCAACATGAGAGACAAATCAAACTCGATTCTACTTTCTCATGATTAATTAAAACCACATATATTGACCTTGTATATCTCACATAGTTGAGATAGGATGATTGTCCTTTTAAAAAAAAGTACCCTGAAGACCTGTCATTAATTACTTTCCCTAAGCATGTCAACTCTCTGGTTTACTAGCAATATAACACCTGCATCTTTATCATGCTGATCTATTTCTTAATTGACAATATTTAAATGGATAATTTAAGATGTTTTCATCATTGGAATATTTTCCAGAATTTAAAATGCATTTATAGAAGATAAAATCTTCAAAACATCAAGTTCAGTCACTTTGGAATCTCTCGAAATTATGAAAGGTACTTGTATGTTCTTTTTTTTTAACAACTTCTTCAGTGTATGATTGAGTTACGAAAAGCTGTAATGTTTAATGTATACAACTTGATGAGTTTTGAAAGAAGTATACACCTGTGAAATCATCACCACTATTAGATCATAAACATATTTATTCCCTCCAAAAATTTCCTGTCTTATTTGTTTGTTTGTTTTTTTATTTCCTTGATTGATAAGCACAGTTAAGATCTGCCCTTTTAAGCACTGTGCTGTATAGTCAATTTCTAGGACTTAACTCATCCTGCAAAACTGAAACTCTAACCCTTTGATGATCTCCTTATTTCTGCCTCCCCACAACCCTAGTAACTGCCACACTAGTCTTTGCTTCTATGACTTTGATTATTTTAGCTTCCTCCTGTTAAGTGGTATCATACCGTATTTGGCTTTTATATATATATTTTTAAAGATTTATTTATTTATTTATACAAGCACTGGGTACAGTCAGAAGCATGGGAGGGTGAGAGAATTCACCAGAGCGGGGAACAGAACAGGCAGACTGATGAAATACACTGCTGAAGGGAGCAGCGGGAGCAGCAGGAGAGCTCTGTCGCTTCATGTGGGATCCTCACCAGTGGCCAGGGATCGAACTGGCGCTGCAGAGGCTGCGGGCAGCTTCGGAGCCCAGCGCTCAACCACTGTGCCACCAGGGGAGGCCCTGTATTTGTTTTTTAAGGGAATTTTTTATTTTATAGAAATAATTGTTCAGAGTGCAGGTAAGAGGGAATGGGGGAGTCCTCCCTTGTGGTGCAAGGGGTTAAGACACAGCACTGTGAAGCTATCTGCAGTCACTACAGCACGAGTTCGATCCCTGACCAAGGAGCTGACCCACATGGTGCAGCAGACCTGTCCTCCTGTCTCGCCCGCTGTTCCCCTCAGCAGTGTACTTCAGTCAGTCTGCCTGTTCTGCTCCCCACTCTGTCTCATCCTCTCGTCCCCCCAATTTCTGGACTGTACCCCAGCTCTTGTATACATAAATAAATAAATCTTTTTAAAAAAGAGGAAATGGGGGAAAGTTGGGAGGAAAACACAAGCCAAGCCACATGCAGCCTTTGCGACACTCCCCACTTCCCCTTATCTTCACTTTGAGCAACTGGTTGTGTAAAATTAGACACTTTGTACAATTTATCAAGTATTGTATTACTGAATTTTATTTTTTCTAGCTAAACTTTTGGGTTATTATTAAGTTCTTCCCTGAAAATTCTCTCCTCATCCTTTCTGTTATCACTGACACTGTTAGGCACTCTTAAGTGTTTTTTTTTTTAACTCAGCAAATAGCCCATGTTGAATGTTGAAATTAAAGCACTAATGCATCCTAACAATGAAGAAAATAGCATGATGGCTAATGATATTTTCATTTGCTACATTCACTGTTTTTCTTGAATGAGTGGAAAGTTAAGAAAAACAATGCAGGTGAGAACTGGTCTAGTAATGGGTCAAAGAATTGAACCAAAATGATAAATTGAGAAAAAAAAAATGACAAAGTCTTTGTGATCCCTAGTGTGTTAAACTGTTTCTAATTCATTTTTGAATCTGCATCTGTTAAATAAAAGTCTCTGTTTGCAGCAATAAAATGAAGCAATCTTTGTTCAATGGGATTTGATCATCACAAAGGTTACAGAAAAGCAGCCCCTCTCATTTTACTCATCTTACGGATACTTTGTGTGAAACAATAGCTGGAATGGAACTTTTACCTTGACAGTGAAGCGTTTTTTCTTTGGTGGACTCCAAACTGTGCCAGTCGAATGAATGAATGCTCGCAAAGGGGTTAAGGATGTTACTAAGACATAGGCTTTAAGAATCACAGATAGATCTTCCGCTCTAAAGATTGATTCCCGTGGAGCAAGGGCTGCTGTTTGATTCCTAAAACATAAAACAACACAGTGAAATCTTCTTCCCTTAGAGTGAGTATGTAACTTGTAAACTGCTGCAGAGCTTTGTATGCTCCATCTATCCTTTGTCAGACCTCAGCTTTCATGGTGGTTTTTCTAAATAATTTCACTGCTTATTAGCATCACTACCAGGGGATAGACAGGTACAGAGAGGAGATCAAGTGATAAGATTTCTCCATTGTGGCAGATTACATCAAAAGATTTTTCAAGTAGGAAAAAAGGTAAGAAAATAGTACCTAAAATTAAGTTAAAGATTTAAAAATTTAGTCATGTATGTTACTGTTGCAACAAAAGTGATGTAAATTACAGTTTAGGGAATAATGAAACATCTGTAATTTTCTGATTTTGCCTTCAACACTCTTTGCTTTATTTTTTTTTCTATAAGAAAAGATATTAAGGTTTTCAATAATGGACTGGTCATAAAAAATGTATCAAAATATTTTCTCACTAGTTAGTTTCAATCTAAAAATCTTCACCACAAATAATTAATAAATTCAATGAAGGATTCATTGAAGGGATGAAGTATTAAGAAAACATTTCAACCCACAAAATAAAGTAATATTAACTTAGTGTTTAGTGATGAAACAAATATACTTTTCTAATACATTAAGTATCTAAGTTTCTCAGTGAAAAGATTGTGCTCTTTCAACTTTTGAACTCTAGGGAATTACAAGATGTATAAGACTCGTCAATAAATACTATTAACAAAGGAAATACTACTTAATCATATTACTAGATGAGGGGAACTCATTTATGTCTTGGATAACATAAATGCTTTCCCTGGAGGTCACCTGGATAACTTGGTCTCTGCAGTTGCTTTCCTAGATCCTTGAAGTCATTAAAAGAAATAACTAGTGCTTCCCTGGTGGCACAGCAGGTTGAGCGCAGTGCTGTGAAGCTGTCCGCAGCCTCTGCAGCATGGGTTCGATTCCCACCCGGCCAGGAAGATGCCCACATGGCGTGGCAGGCCTTTCACATCTTGCCCGCTGCTCCCCACAGCAGTATATTTCGGTTCGTCTGCCTGTTCTGCTACCCGCTCTGTCTATGGTAAATCCTCTCACCCTCTCATGCCTCTGGCCTATACCCCAGCTCTTGTATAAAAATAAATAAATCTTAAAAAAAAAAAAAAAGAACTAGGAAAAAACGCATTCAGCCACATTTATAGACTAAGACGATGTCATTTGAGCATAAAATGGATGTTAAAATTTTATAGTTTCACATTGTCAAGGTTTTAAATTCAATTTCCATTAATGCAACTTCCCAGATAAGAGTTCTATTTCCCCAAATGTTTATTCTATGGCAGGAGAGGTTTGAATTAGCCTAGAAGAAGATCAATGATGGCATCTTTTATTAAGAAGAAATCACTGTAAATTTATATAACAGAAACTCATAATTCAAACACGTAAAACTCCCTAGACCTGTTTGGCACTTTTCTGTTGTTAGCTGTCTCCTAAAGTACAAGCTGGATATAACAATTCAAAATGATTAGCTTACAGCTGTTCACGGCTCCAGTCCCATGGTTTCCACGTATGTGGCTTCACTGCTTTTAAAAGGTGAGGCGAAGCACTCAGCTTTAATTGTATGTTCTGATCCAGACACACAGAGGGGTTCACTGGAAGTCGCAATTCTGCAAAGATTCAAAGGAGCAGAAGCTAGTCCTTTTATTGTTTCTTTTTGGAATTGCTTCCAAAATAGAGACTGCTATATTAAACGACAGGGTCCACGCGAAACAGGCAACAGATTTTCTCCCCATTCTGAATCAAAGTCAGATCCATTAAGAATAAATGCATGCTCAGAGAGGCCTTTGCTTTGTAGTTTGTTAGCATACCACAGGCTAGGATTGTAATAACTGATTTCAAATTTTCTTGCTCAGAAAGGGAGGGAGATATGATGACTCTATGTGTCCTGCACCAAGTGATCTATCCTGCATGTAGCTAAGAGATGCACTCACAATAAGGGGATGAGGGCTGCAGGAGCCAACTTTCATTGGCAAGGAGAATATTACCTAAACAACTTGAACTGATTTCCTGACAATATAGTCTTCATGTGCTAGTTTCTCATGCCTCAGTGAGCTCAGCAATCATGCTTTACTATTTTGTAAATTATTGTTTTAAAAGACACTAAAAACCAGTGAAGAAGACTTAGTTCAGAACATTCACTTAGATATTTTTAAAGTAGATTTATTGCACATACATGTTTAGAAAAATCAAATGGTACAGAAAACGATCAAAAGGAACCTCTACCTAGGACTTCTCCCTGCTGAAATCAATGATTACATTATATTGACATTTGAAATCTAGACAAGCACAATGGGTAAGATGCATGTGATTCTTTTCTTAAACATTTTTTTAAAAGATTTATTTATTTATACAAGAACTGGGGTACAGGACAGAGGGTGGGGAGGGTGAGAGAATTCACCAGAGACAGAGCGGGGAGCAGAACAGGCAGATGGACCAAAATACACTGCTGAGGGGAGCAGTGGGTGAGGCAAGAGAGGTCTTCTGTGCCTTGTGTGTTTCTCCCCAGCTGGCCAGGAATCGAACCTGCGCTGCAGAGGCTGCGGACAGCTTCACAGTGTGACGCTCAACCCAGTGCACCACTGGGGAGGCCCTGCATATGATTCTTCAGTATAAAATTGTATCAACAAAACAACATAAATCTACATAAATATTTTTATTTTATTTTATTTTTTTTTGCATACAAGAACTGGGATATAGGCCAGAGGGGCTGGGGTGGAGGGCGAGAGGATTCACCAGAGACAGAGTAGGGAGCAGAAAAGGCAGATTTACTGAAATACACTGCTGAGGGAATCAGCGGGCAAGACAGGAGAGGTCTGCTGCACCAAGCAACATAAACCTATAATATAGATATTTCTGTTTTTATAATTATCCAAAATAAACCACATGACAGTTTAAATCTGGTTTATTTCCCTACTAATTCATTCCAGAGTCCTTTCCATATCAGCATGTACAGAATTACCCAATACTTCTTAATGGTTTAGGGTGTTCCATTAAGTGAACATACATTTAGTTTAACCATTGCCCTGCTGGTGTGTATTTAGATTATTCTTATAATATTTTTCCTTTTATTATTTCAAAAATACTGTAATGAACACTCTCCTATATCCATTGTATACTTTTACAAGTTTGCCTAGAGGCAAATACTACTCAGTATGTGTAATTGCAAGTTGCTGGGTAAATGCAGTGTCAATTTGATAGACATCATTGAATTGCCTTCCAAAAAAGTTGCCCCAATTTCCACTCTCTCCAACAGCGTACAAGAGTTGTTTCCTCACTGCCAGGTCACAGTGCTTTGTTTTTAAATTATACAATTTGTCTAGCTCTCAAAATGGAACAAAGCCTTTAAATTATGCCCCCCTTGTGCACGTTTCATCAAAACTAACATAGTCTAATTTAAAACACTTCACACTCTTAAGTAAAAGTCAGCAGAAGTCAAGCTGTTCACTGTATTCCCTTATCTCATTATTTAGCACAGTATGATCTTTCTCAAAAAATGATAGCCTATTTGTAAGGCTTCCCTATTAATAAAGTTCTAATACATCATACTCAAAGAAATATTCACACTGCTCATTTCTGGAGGTGAGAAATGAAGAGTCATTAAGGTAAATTCTTCAGCATCACAACTTAAAAAGAGTGTTTATATAATCCTTTAAATTTACAGTAAGAAAATGTGCTCTCTTTCTATACTAAATAGACTGATATTTTAGAATTTATTACTAGGAAATATTTGATCTGCCCAGAAAAGCTGATACGTGGTCTTCCTCTGCCTCTGTAAGAACTGTGGTTGACTCTCAACCCTTCTTACCCTTGCTGCCAGGAAGAACAGTGCTGATGTGAAGCCCAAGTAGACCTGACTTTGAAGAAGCTAGACATATTATTTTGCCATAGTCATGGCTCAATGGTAAGAAAATACTCAGCAACTATGTTAAAAGAATAAACAATGTTATATCACCTTTTCTGGTTTAGTTAAAGTAAAGGAGTCTATAATATGTAGTTGAAGGAATCAAATATAGAAATTGCCAAGATAACGTCAGATTTCCATATCAACCTCTGACAATGTGGTTAAACGACATAATATTGATTAAAGCAATTGTTGGGCAGTGTATATATACACATACACATACACACAAATATATAGACAAACTGATATGTATATTTATGAATGTTATATAGACATCATATATTGATAATATGTACATAGATCAATAAATTCTGTACTTACAATTTTTACCTTCTTGTGTGAGATATATATATATAAAGATATGGATAGATCAATCAATATACAGATACACAAACTGATATGCACACACATACTTAAGTGCACATATAGATATGTGTATACATATATTCATTCTAGACTTTCCATGACATTACTCTAGCCTTGGAGGTTACTTCTAACTAGTCAGAAAACTGCAACTAGATGTCCCATGATATCTATTGATAAAACCACTTCCATTTCTCTTGATTATATTCAAAAACTGAAAATAAAATTAAAAAACTACAACTGCATTTTATGGAGTTTTTATAAACATTGTAGAAAACTTAACTACCTTATGTTCTTATTTAACAAAGTAAAAGGTTTTTTAGTAGTCACTGGTAGATATCTTTCATTTGTCCTATAGGACAAATGTAGGACACTCTCAATAGACTGATTTAATTCACTTGTTTTAACATTCCACCCCCTTCTCCCTTCAATGTCAGAATTAGATAGTTTTTGGAAGGAACTTGATGCAGTCTTCCATGATACAAACAGTCTTCCTTACAGCCTTCAACACCTATTTATTTATTTATTTATCTATCTATCTATTTATTTATTTATTTATTTTTGGTGGGACTCTCGCCAGCAGCCGGGGAACGAACCGGCGCTGCAGAGGCTGCGGGCAGCCTCGCAGCCCAGCGCTCAACCGCTGTGCCACCAAGCGAGGCCCCCCAACACCTATTTATTAAACATTTTCAGAAAACAATTAAATATGGGAAGCTTAGCATGCAAGCTTAGAATTCCACCCCACACTTAAGGATGAATGGATAGCAGGCACAGATGTGATATATCACATAGACTTTTATAGATGGATTACTATTGGCTTATTTTAAAAAGCCTGAAACCTTTAACTTGACCCCTTCACCCAGAGTAAAACCAATTTGACAGGGATGCTTGAAGACTATTTTTCTTGCATTTCTAGCACCTAATTGAACAGGTACTGGGTACCTGCTGTCTGTGGTAGTTTTATGAAAAGAAGATTAATCAGAACCACAAAATCTGGGTTTTTCAATTCATTTTGACTCTTAACCAACTGATGCTTAGTGGGTATGTGACACTGTCAAGTAGTTTTGTGGAATCCAGAATGTGATTCCCCATGAATTTTCTGAACTATCCACATCACTGATACATAACAAGTGCTCAGTTTCTTCTAGCAAGGAAATGGTTTGGGGAGGCTAAACCAATATACAGTTAGAGAATAAAATAGTATTCCATCTTAATGAAAGTATTTTATTCAGTTATTTATTCTTTCCCTTCTACATGGCATATAATTATATACATCATGGGCATTGGAACTAAACATTGGAAAACACCTGTACTAATAAAGATTAGCTGCCAAATTTGGATGTATTTATTTTACTGTTTTGCCCCAGGCTAATAATTAATAGAAAAGTATAATTATATTTCATGAATGTTTGCATATTGTCATCCATTTCATGTTAGGAAGCTAAACTTAGCCATTGTTTTCTTATGTTAAAACTTTCAGTGAAGGTAAAAAGCCTTAATAAATAATTAACAATTAGGGCTGAGATTAGAAGTGTAAATAAATACCATTTGTGGATGTATTCACTGTTTTTCCTGCCTGAGGATATTTATAAATCTTGGTCCTTAGCCTTCAGGTATAAAACCCATGCAAATATACCTGCAGTATTTACACACAAAGCAAATATAAATTGAAAATATGCACAAACTAAAGTCCACAGCAGGAAATGATCAGTAAAGACTCTGGGAGAAAACAGAAGGAAGGCAGTCAAGGTGTAAAGGAAATGCCTATGAGTTAGACTATTAAAGAAAAGACTATAACAAAAATAAGGGTGGAGATAAGGACAAATTGCAATTAGTGACACTCCCCAGAATGGGCAAAATGGAAGGTCTTAGAGCCTGTACCCAGGAGGGAGATGATCTTATATCTCAACTATGGGAAAAACTACTGCACATGAGCAATGGCCACGAGGGCAGGGAGGTTTGGGGGGGGAAGCACAGGCACATCCTAGCCAGGGTCCACCAGGGAAGGTGCCAGGAAATAGAGGTCCCAAAGGTCTCTCCTCCTGAGTTCTGATGTCTTGCCAAAGTCAGAGAATAGTGCGCCCAGCAGATGCAGTCTGGAGAGAACTGCTTCCTGGGGTCCAGGGAGAATCTGGAAAGGCAAGAAAAAGAAACCTCTACCTTGGGGTGTGTTTCCTCCACTTTTTGTACTGCTGAAGAGATGAAAAGATGGTGTATATCCCCCAAATAATTTCGTAAGGCTCAGGAGCCTAAAAGGGGTCCAGCTACAATGAGGGCAGATTTCTTTATTCCCTTGCATATCTAGTGCTAAGCACAGACTGCAAGCACTCAACAAATGTCTGC